TTAAATTATTTGTATAAACTCTTTAATGAGTCTTTATCAAAGGTCAGCCCTTATTTTTTTCTGCTAATTTCGCTAAATCTTAGACCTAGGACACTTGAGCCCGCGTTGTTGACCGCATACCCGCTGACGTAGCATTTCGGTATGTACTTCGTGGCTGAATGCCATATAGACGACATATAGTGCTAGTTCCATATAGATGACATATAGTGCTAGCCATCCTATGCCATCCCTAGCCATCCTTTACCATCCATAACCATCCTTTGACATCCCTAGCTATCCTTTACCATCCCTAGCCATCTTTGACATCCCCAGCCACCCTTTACCATCCCTAGCCATCCTTTACCGTCCTTAGCCATCCCTAGCTATCCCTAGCCATCCATAGCCATCCTTTATCATCCTTAGCCCTCCCTAGCCATCCTTTACCATCCTTAGCTATCCCTAGCCATCCTTTTACCATCCATAGCCAACCTTTGACATCCCTAGCCATCCTTTACCATCCCTAGCCCTCCCCAGCCATCCTTTACCATTTATAGCCATCCTTTACCATCCCTAGCTCTCCCTAGCCATCGTTTACCATCCTTAGCCATCCATAGCTATCCCTAGCCATCCATAGCCATCTTTTACCATCCTTAGCCCTCCCTTGCCATCCTTTACCATCGAAATAGTGCTTTTTATCAGCTTTTTCCTTGTAGCGAATAAGCTCCCAAGGTAGAAGATAAAACACCTTTCCTTTTGTTCGTGATAGGATGTTAACCAAACGGGAACAGCTAATTTAAAAGCTATGAATCTACTACATTATTTGTAGCAGGCTACCTATATGACTGCCTTCTGAAGAGATTTAGTATAGTATTTTCTAAGCCGTGATAGAGAAAAGTCTTTCGTTTAAAAAACGGTGGTTCGAAAAAAAGAAAAAAGTTTGCTGTATCCGTGACTGGTATAATACATTTACTATCCGGCTAAATGTAACGGTCGAATTAATTATAGTTCAATGCATCAATTCCGTAAGCAAGAGTACGAGCTGTGATACTTTTGTGTTTTCCAAAGTTTAATTTTCCTTCCACTTGCTTCTTTGTTTTTTCACTCGCATGCAATCTGAGCTCCCGTGCAAAGCGCGAGTTAACAACATGATTGTATAAATGTGCAATCGGTAAGAAGAAAATAATCATGGTAACAATTCGAAAAGAGATCTTCTGACGATTCAAGTACTGGTAAAACCATGTTAAAACAAAGGGAAAAACATATCCACGCATATCCATTTTCTCGTGTCGTTGAAGTGTGAGACGTGACTGACAAATATATTCCTGGGGGCTCCTATGAGAACTTTTGGCAAGGACCTGATCATCATGGAATATCATTGGTAGATGTAAGAGCGAAACCTATTGGTTACGACGTAAATGGACAGTTCTACCACGGAGGTCCAAACTTCCACGGTACAGAAATACACCCTGGAGAGGATGTGGGTACAAGATTGATTATAGGGGTGAAAATGCAATTTTGCTTTTAGAATTTACTTTTTAAACTACTTGCAAAAGATTGGATTGACTTTATATCTAGATATTTTTTCGAAACTCAATATCTATTTTTTGTTTACAATAATTTTCTGTTTTTCTTTCTTAAGTGGATCTGAATAAATTGAATTTATTAGATGAGGTACATTTCCTGCGAAGACGCGCGGAAAAACGGAAAAATCCTTCCTTTTTGATGCCTAATAGCTTGAACACCACTCCTTTTTTTCAAGTATTTGAATACTAAAATAATGAACTTCGAGTGAAAGACTTTAAAAAAATTAATGAAAGAATTCTGTAGATCCAGTAACTACCTTAAAATGAAGAGAAAAAAGCTATGTAAAAGGACAAACGCTGAGTC